AAAAATTGGTTTTAAGTAAAGCTGTGTTCTTAACAATTTTTCTATATCTTATTAACTGTCTTCGTCAATGTGTTAATGTTATTTAAATATGAGTTGATGGTATTTTTAAATGTGGTCAAATATTCATTTTATGTAGATGATTGTAAATTTGGTGCTTTGGGATGTTGTGCCTTTGATAACCTTTGAACCACAAAGATGCAATTTTGAAAAAGATGTGTGATGAATCTTTAGTATCTATGTTTAGTGTAAAGGTAGAATCACGTTTAATGAATTTGTAAGATTAGTCTTTATTATATTTTAATTGGTTACACTGCATAGAACATGGCTTAGCAAATTCTTTCTGTAGCAGACTATATAGTAATTATTTTAGACTTTGTGGGCCATGTATGATCTCTCTTAATTCTCTCCTCCTTTCCCTTCATCTCCCCTACTTTCTTTTATTTTAAATAATCTTATAAAAACTATTCATAGCTTAGTGATCTACAACAAGGAGATTGTAGGCTGAATTTTGTCATGCAGGCCAAAGTTTGCTGGCCCCTACTATAGAGGACAATATTGTTTGTGATTGCTGGAGATGGTGTTTACCTGTCACATCTCTGACTTTGCAGCTCCTAGTTCTTTCATCCTTGGGAAGAATTCTTTTTAAATGTTTATCCGTTCTCCTTTGAATTGCTTATACACAAACTCCTACAAATTCTAATTATGCTTTTCTTTGCTTTTAAATTTGCTGATGCATGAATATACTTCAGGTCTTGGCTTAAATATCACTGCTTTACAAAACACATTCCAGGATAGGCTTAGGTCTCTGTATGGCTTATTTCCATAGCATCTTTAAGTTTTCTTTTATAACTCTTATCACAAATGAAATTAGTTTATTTTTGGTATTATTGAAGGCTTTATGTATCTTTTAGACTCCTCCTTATGCAGTGTACTGGATGGTATATAGTAGGTGCTCGGCAAATAGTGGAAAGAACATGAGCTCCAATAAGGGCTGAGAAAGAGCCCATGTCCTGTTTACCCTGTAACTCAGATACTTAGCCCAGAATCTACCACTTTGCAAGCACTTTGTAAATATTTGTTGAATGACTACTATAGCATTTTTTTTTTTATTTTTACATATACAGGTGATTATTAGGTTTCTGGTATAGCATTATTTTTAATAAAAGATTTACTCCTACATGTAGAAGGACTGTCTTGGGGTTTTGTTGTATATGAACAATAATAGAGCATAATTAATATTGTGGTTCTCAGGATCAGAATGCCTTGATTGGTATCCAGCTCTTTACATGTTAACTGTGTGACCAAGAACAATTTATCTAAGCTCTTGATACCTCATTTTTTTTGCCTATCACATGGGAGGAATAATTGTATATATTTCATAGGTTGGTTATGAGGAATAAATAATACGTTTACTCATTTGATAAAGATTTGTTGAGTTCCAATTATGTTATATTCTGGGGATACATTGGGGAGCAAACGGATGCATATTCTTTCTTCTGGGAACTACAGTCATCAAATAGTCACTTAAATTCAATCATTCATTCAAATGTAATATTACAGTGGTGACAAGGGCAATAAAGGATTAGTTCACACTGTTATGAGGCCCACTGAAAGGGATTTAACTAATTAGAAAGGTCCAGAGAGACTTTTTCAGAGAAGTAAAGTTAGAACTGAAATCCAGTAAAAGAAGGAAATACAGTATATAGAGATTTTCCTATTTTAGTTTTGTTCATTTCTAGATTAACTTAATTATGGTCAGAGAATAGATAGTTGAGGTTTACTTCATAAATCAGGATATGATATATCTTAGTGAATGTTTATGTGTACTTGAAAAGAATCTATATTCCTTTATTGTTAGCCTGTTCTATAAATTCAATTAGATTCAGTTAGTTGATGGTATTGTATAAATAAATCTAGTTTTTTATTGAATTTTTAAGTATAATTCTATTTATTGAGAAAAGGACATTAAAACTCCTGTGATTTTGGAATTGTCTGTTTCTCTATTTAATCCTGTTAATGATTTTCCTGTTCATGTTTTTTGAATTTCTTCTATAAATCTCACATTTATATGTAACTATTGTATCTTTCTGATGAATTGACACCTTATTATTAAATTCCCTCTTTATCTCTGATTATTCTGTCTTAAAGTCTATTTTAACTTACCTCTTATAATCCTTTGTCTTAAAGTCTGTTTTAAGTGATACTGTATTCACTGTGTGTTTCTCGTGTTTATTGTTTGCACATATCTTTCAATCTGTTTTAGTGTTTGTAAGTATGTCTATATATGTAGCCTGCATATAATTGGGTCTTCCTTCTTTATCCACTCTGACAGTTTATGCTAATTGGAGAATTTAGAACATTTAATATTTTTAAAAATTATTATTTAAATGCTTATATGGTAAATTGGATTTAGCATTTAAAAACTTGTTTTGTTTGCTCATTCTGTTTTTTTTCTCTGTTTAACACTTTTTGCCCTCTTTTGGATTGTTTGAATTTTTTTTGCATTGTATTTTAATATAACTATTGGCACTTTATGTATACCCCTCTGCGTTTCTTTCTGTGGTTGATCTACAGATTTTAATGTGTATCTATTAATTGTCTACATTGAGTTACTATTGTTACTATTTACTTAATGTAAAATGTTGAAACATTTTAAAACTATATTATGTCCCTTCACCCACCCTGTCCTTTATGCTAGAGTTGTCATATATATTTATGCCTACATGCATTTATATCCTCATATGACAGTGTTATATTTTTCTTCTTAAACAAACATATATAGAGTGGCCTTAAAGGAATGTGCAATTTAAATATTGTAACTATTTATGGCCACCCTGTATTTTTAAATAGGGAAATTATATTTCTCATGAGATTTACTAGTTTTCATGTTCTTAATTTTTTTCTGAAGATCCAAGTTTACCTCTAATATTATTCTCTTTCATCCTGAAGAACTTTCTTTAACATTTCTTATAGTGCAGTTCTGCTGGCAATTTTCTTAGTTTTTCCTTTCTGAAATATGTCATTTATTTGGTCTTAATACCTGAAGGATATTTTTGCTGGAAATAGAATTGTGAGTTGACATTTTTTTCTTTTAGCACTTTAAAGATGGTGTTTTATTGTCTTCTATTCCCCCTATTTTCTAATGAGAAGTTCACAAACATACTGTCAAGATTTTCTACTTTTTAACTTTCTTCAAATACAGGAAATTTTGGCCAGTATTTTGGGATTGCAGTTATGTATCTATTTAATATTTTTATATTATTTCATACTTTCCTGAAGTACTATTTATTTTATTTCAAATTTTTTCTCTTTGTTACTCATATTGGAGTACTTATATTGTTTTTATATTCACTGGCACTTGCCAATACGCTTAAACTAGGGTGACCAGATTTTAACATCAGTAAGGTGGGACAACACAGCCGGGACGGGGCAGAGGACGGGGCAGGGCAGGGCCTGACAACAATGCAAACTTTGATAAGCAGTTCTCGATAATCACTTCTCAGCAATTATTTATTATTACCGTTTAACATTATAAAATTAACAAAAATAATATAAAACTCATATTCTGGCAAAATAGCTACATGGCACCTGAAAACTGTATATTCCCTTCTTGTTCTCCAGCCCGTTCGTGCATTCTTTCCAAAAATTGGGACTTGTTTAAAACCGCGAGGTGCGGGACAAATTGTTGAAAAGCGGGACTGTCTCACCAAAATCGGGACTTATGGTCACCCTATCTTAAACCCATACAATGAATCTTTTTTTGTTGTTTTTACCAGTTTTAAAATTTCCATTTGGTTTTCTTTTGGTTTTTTCCTTAGTTTTCCTACCTTTTTATTAATTTCATGAGTATTCCCTGTACCTGATTCAGTTTAGTATAATAGCTGCATTAAAGTTCTTATCTCATAAATGTTCACATTTTAGTTATACTGGGGTATGTGTATGTTGGTTACCTTTTTTCTTGAGAGTATTGACATTTTACTAGTTCTCTGTATGTTGAATAATTTTGAATGCTATCGAGGACATCATAAAGGTTGTGTTATGTAGACCATACGTTCTATTATGTTCTTTTGGATAATGTAAATGTTTTTGTCTTCTCAAAAAATTTAGTTAAAATTTAGTTAAAATTTAGTTGGAGGGTGTCTTTTGTGCAGTCTATAATGGTTTTCAGTGGGAGAGGTGGTCTCTAAGTATGAGGTTATAGTGACATACTAAGTTGGAAGACTATTCCTTTTTTATCTGCCAAATGGATATATAAAATATCTAACTTGCACAGAGTAGTATAAGAAATAAAAATATATTGAAAGGATCTAGTTATAACTAGTTATGTATTAGTAGAATAGTAGAACTTACTCAAAAGGGTGGTTATTGTCATCATTCTGTCTCCACAGTCCTTGATGTAATTTAAGCTCTTGTCAGTTCATGTTTGTTCTGGCATAGTAGTCTCATAACTAATTTTTTATGAACTTTACACTGTTAAAGGTTTCTTCTGCTCCATTGCTAGTGTTGTCTTTTTCAATTACAAATATAATAATGTAATCTTGCTGTGTTAAAACTTTTTTCTTTTTGAAGACAGAGTCTCACTATAACTCACAGCAGCCTCAAACTCTTGGGCTCAAGTGATTTTCTTGCCTCATCCTCCTGAGTAGCTGGGATTATAGGCACCCACCACAATGCCTTGCTATTTTTAGAGATGAGATCTTGCTCAGGCTCTGGCTGGTCTCAAACTGATGAGCTCAGGCAATCTCCCTGCTGCGGCCTCTGAGAATGCTAGGATTCTAGCAATGAGTCACCATCCAGGCCTCTGTTAAAGCTTTTAATGGCTCCACATTTTCTTTAGATAAAATTGAAAAATTTAGTTGTTTTTATAGTTAATGATGTAGGACCTTTTAGTGTTTGGCTTTGTATAAAATTGTTGTGACCTTATGCTTCAGTACATAAAGTGAGTTCATAAATATAAATTGTGTTGGATAGTGGGGGAATGATGAGAAATTAAGCATTAGATCTTTTATTCTTTATGAGCTTGATGATAGGGGTTTTCACAGTCATGTGTGAGAAGTACCTCCTTCAAACTTTGCTGCAACATTGGCACATCACTTCTCTAACATGGATAAAAAGAAACTAAGCACCCATAATAGAAGAATTAAGGGTTGTATTAACTTTTTCTTGCTCAGTTTCTAGAGCTGTGCTGTCCAATGTGATAGTCATTAGCCAAAGGCGGCTATTACAATCTAAGCTAATTCAAAATAAATCAAATTTAATAGTTTTTTCAATTGCAATAGCCATATTTGAAGTGCTCAATAGCTATCCCATTGAACAACACAGAAATTGTTTCCATTGTTGCAGAAAGTTCTATTATACAAGACTTGTCTAGTATTGATAGATTTTTTTTCTGTAAAAGGATATTATTAAATTTTTTAGACCTAGAAGATCATATGGTCTCTATTACAACTATTCAACTCTGCTTTTACAGTATGAAACAGAAATAGACAGTATTTAAACAAGTGGGCTTTGTTACAGTAAAACTTTATTTAGATGTGGCTTTGTTACAGTAAAACTTTATTTATAAAAATAGGCAGTGAGCTGGATTTGGCCTGTTGGCTGTAGTTTGCTTATCCTCTAGAATGTTGGGTTAAATTCTTGACTCCATTAAAATAGTATATTGATAAAATGATTCCATCCCAAGGGAATGATGTAATTCAGAATAATTTCCTAAGAAGAATGATACTAAGAACTACTAGAGATTTTGGAATAGTGAAGACAAATCTTGGGGAGTGATAACTATTTTTAAAAATTTTCTGGATATCATGTAGAAGAATTAGATTTCGATATCATGTAGAAGAATTAGATTTCTTCTACATGATTATGGAAGGAAGAAAAATGACCATTGCATAGAAATTATAGGGACTCACATTTTAGTGCAATACAGGGAAAAGAAGATCGATAAAATAGTGAGTGCCCTCTTGCTAATTTTTTATAGTGATTTATGTATATGATAAAGCTTGGATTAAATAACAGGTCATTGAATTTTTTAAATTAAAATTCTATGGCTTTTGTTTCAGGGATCTGCCTATTCTCTGCCATATTTGTTTTAAAAATTTTCTTAATATTGACTTACTTTCTCCTTTAAAAGAATTTTAGCCAAGGAGAAGCTCACAGTTCTTTCTACAATTCTATTTGGGAAGTTTGATTATTTTTAATGTGTGTATGATTTGGCTCTCCTGATTTGTTTATGTTTTTAATTTAGGCAGAAAACCAAAAGCTTTTAGATGAGAAAAAGCAATTTGAGAAGATTGCTGAAGAATTAAAAGGAACAGAACAAGAATTAATTGGTCTTCTGCAAACCAGAGAGGTTTGTTTAAAGATAGATTTTTATTTCAAATGTTTCTTGAATAGAATATAGATTTACAAAATAGATTATGCTTTGCTTTGTGAAAAATTTCTTCACAAAATTCCTCTAAAAAGTGTGTGTTGTTGGGCGGTGCCTGTGGCTCAAAGGAGTAGGGCACTGGCACCGTATGCCACAGGTGGCGGGTTCAAACCCAGCCCCGGCCAAAAACTGCAGAAAAAAAAAAAAGTGTGTGTTGTTATACTTAATATGCTAATTGATTTAAAACACATCTAGAGAAACTTCGTATTATAATGTAGGAGAGAAAGGTCAACATTTAGGATATTGATGCAATGCTGATGCTGTGCTTTATAACAAATACAGTTCTTTTGTCTCGAGTATTTCTTTTTATTTTTTGAGATGGAATTTCACTGTGTTGCCCAGGCTGGAGTGCAGCAACTGTTTATAGGCATGATCATACTGCACTACAGCCTTGGTCTCAATCTTCCTGCCTTAGGCTCCTAAGTGGTTTGGACAGCAGTTGTATGCCACTGTGCCTGGCCAAATATTTCTTTTTGTTAAATTTTTTTAAAAATTTCACATTAATATGAAGGCATAAGCAATTAGATTATAGTGTTTGCATTTATTAGGTAAGGTCCCTATTGCAGTTACGCCCCTAACCCGGGAGGTATGCCATATACCCTTACATTGTGCCTAGTAGATGAGAGCATGACAGAGGCCAAATATTTCTTAATTAGTACATTTAGAATTCAGATTTTATTAAGTTAAATTCTTAATTTGTAGTACTTTTCATAGTGCTTATGTTATAATTTTAGAATTTGTCTTTTTTACAGTATGGGCATTAATATTATAACTTACCTTTTTGTAATAAAAACATGTTAGTTTTAAAGATACTACCTGGATTAATTAATATTTATTCCTTTTTTTTTTTTTTTTTTCAGTTTTTGGCCAGGGCTAGGTTTGAACCTGCCATCTCTGGCATATGGGGCCAGCACCCTACTCCTTTGAGCCATAGGCACTGCCCTTAATAATATATTTATTCTTAACTCTGTAGCATTTTAATTGAAATTAATTACTTGGTAAAGGAAAATTGATAAAATTATGTATGTGAACATAACTCTACTGGTTGAGCTTTAGAATATTTTGCATTTGCCATTGCTTATTGTTTTAACGTTATAATGATTATCACTTCAAATCTAGTTAAATTTAAATATTTGACATAACCTGCCAAATTTTTGCCAAATACATGACTTAAGTACACTATGACTATACTTTTTAAATGACAACATTGGAAGAACACTTGCTATAATTATATATGTTTATTTTGCAGAAAGAAGTACATGATTTGGAAATACAGTTAACTGCCACTGTGACAAGTGAACAGCATTATTCAACACAGGCTAAAAATCTGAAAACTGAGCTAGAAAATGAGAAGTATGTTTTTCATTTATCTCTAAATGGATAATATATTCAGTTCTTAATTTTTTTGTTATAAATAATGCATTAGTAAATTATGTTTAAAATTTGTTTGAATGGATTTGGAGTTGTATTTTATTTTTTCTTAAATATCAGAATAATTTACCAATTTCATTGCTGAGGGAAGTACATGTCACATGTAAAAAGATACCACAAAATTGAGAACCACTTTAGAAGATCAGCGTATTATTTTTTTTAGCGGTATTTAATTTTCCATAAAAATAATAATTTGCAATTAATTTTAATCAGTTTTTTTGGTGGTTTTGCTAGATTATTTCATAGGTTTATGTTTATAAAATGTCAAATTATCAACTCAATTCTTACATTATCCAAATAAAATATTTAATTCAATGATTTCACCTACTCAGTAAGTTTAATTTGGAGGGAAAGTCGGGGAAGTAACTATTATGTTACTACTCAGAAGTAAATTCAAATAGCCAGTCTAGTGGAGAGCATGATTTTTCCCTTTTGTTTGCTTCTTGGTTCTAGATAAAAATGCAAAGTACACAATTTATACAGTATCCTCTTCCTTCCCTATTAGCTCCTGTTCTGTTTTTGACACCCTATTAAACAGTATTTTTTAGGGGGCCCTAGCAAAAATTCTTCTATTAACCAAAATAATGAGTGGATTGGTTAGTTGTTTGTACTGTAGTATAAATTTACATTATCTTGGGTATATTTGCTTTTTAGCCTTTCATTGCTTAGGAAAAAGCTTTATGTCCTCTTTTATGAACTTCTGGGATACGAGGAAATAATAAGTGCTTCTGAAATCTCTCTGTAGAGCTACATAATCCTCTGTATTCATTTCAAATTGATCTTGGCTACATCCAAAAGCAACAATTATCTCTCTTGATGAAGAACATTTGAATCTTTGTAAGAGCAGGTTAGGTGTTGTGCATGAAAACCTAAACCTAGTTTTCTTTCATTCTTTCTTTCTTTCTTTCTTTCTTCTTTTTTTTTTTTTTTGAGACAGATTCTCACTATATAGCCCTTGGTAGAGTGCTCTGGTGTCACAGCTCACAACAATCTCAAACTCTTGGGCTTAAACAATTCTCTTGCCCCAGCCTCCCAAGTAGCTGGGACTACAGGCGCCCACCACAGTGCCTGGCTATTTTTTGTTGGAGCTGTTGTTCAGCTGGCCCAGGTCGGGTTTGAACACGCCAGCCTTAGTGTTATGTAGTTGGAGCTGTAACTACTGTGCTGTGGGCACCAAGCCTAGAATTCTTTGTTTTTGTTTTTTTTTTTTGATACAGAGTCTCACTTTGTTGCCCTTGGTGAGTGTGTCACAGCTCACAGCAACTTCAGCTCCTGGGCTTAGGCAATTCTCTTGCCAAAGCTGGAACTACAGGTGCCCACTAAAACACCCGCTGGTTTTTTTTGTTGCAGTTTGGCTGGGGCTGGATTTGGACCCTTAGTATATGGGACCCGCACCCTACCCCCTGAGCCACAGACCCTGCCGTTAGTTTTATTTTTTTTAATGAAAAATGTAAATTAAAAATAGCTTGTGCCTCATGTACTACTTTATTCAAATTATTAGAAATTTGAAACAATTTTCAAGAAATAGTCTCCCTGAGAGAAAAAAAATACATGAAGGAAATGTATTCATCAAATTTGTAGGAAAGTATGTGAGGGATGAACCTGCAAGGAAACATGCAAGAAAATATATTTTATCACATTTTGAAAACTTGGAGAAAAATTTTAAACATTAAAAAGTAGAGGGAATAATGTAATGAACTATCAACATGAACTGTTTACCCAGCTTTAGCAATTATTAACCAATGGACAATCCTGTTTTCATTTACCACCCCCTCCCCCAGCCTTTCTGCCATTTCACCTACTATTATTTTAAATTTCCTGTCATATAATTTCATATGTAAGCATTTCAGTATGACATATTTTAAAAAATAGGCTTAAGAATACTGAATTAACTGCAAGCTGCAACAAGCTTTCACTGGAAAACAAAGAACTAGCAGAAGAAACAAGTGATATGGCCCTAGAAGTGAAGAAACAGCAAGAAGATATTAATGTGAGTTGACAGAGTACTGGTGATTCCATTTTCTTATCTGTAGAATTAGATTAGAATAAATTATCTCTAAATATCCTTAAAGCTTTAAAAGTCTGATTGTTTAAGAGCTAAAATGTGTTTTAATAGAAAAAATATGCATATTGTTCTTAGATATTAATGGGCAAGAGATGCTACCTCTGATAATATAAAGACTACTCAGAGATTAATTTTAAGCTTTGAGATTGAAAAACGTATCTAGTCAACAAGTACTTATTAA